CACCTAAAGAATTTCACACTCACCTACATTATTACACACTCACCTACATAATTACACACTCACACACATAATTACACACTCACCAATGAAATTAAACACTCACCTACATAATTACACACTCACCTAAATAATTAAACACTCACCTACATAATTCAACACTCACCTACATAATTACACAGTCACTTAAAGAATTACACACGTGATAATACATACATAGATACAGAATACACACGTAATAACATATATAGATACAAAATACACACGTAATAACATATATAGATACAGAATACACACGTAATAATACATATATAGATACGGAATACACACGTAATAACATAAATAGATACGGAATACACACGTAATAACATATATAGATACAAAATACACACGTAATAATACATATATATACAGAATACACACGTAATAATACATATATATACAGAATACACACGTAAAAATACATATATATATACATAAAACGCACGTAATAACACATATATATACAGAATACACACGTAATAATACATATATATACAGAATACACACGTAATAATACGTATATATACAGCATACACACGTATTAACACATATAGATACAGAATACACACGTATTAACACATATAGATACAGAATACACACGTAATAATACGTATATATACAGCATACAGACGTATTAACACATATAGATACAGAATACACACGTATTAACACATATAGATACAGAATATCCCACGTAATAACACATAAATACATAATACACACGTATTAACACATATCGATACAGAATACACACGTGTTAACACATATAGATACAGAATACACACGTAATAACACATATAGATACAGAATACACACGTAATAACATAAATAGCTACAGAATACACACGTAATTACACATATATAGATACAGAATACGCACGTAATAACACATATAGATACAGAATACACACGTAATGACACATATAGATACAGAATACACACGTAATAACATATATAGATACAGAATACACACGTAATAACACATATAGATACAGAATACACACGTAATAACACATATAGCTACAGAATACACACGTAATAACATATATAGATACAAAATACACACGTTATAACACATATAGATACAGAATACACACGTAATAACACATATAGATACAGAATACACACGTAATAACACATATAGCTACAGAATACACACGTAATAACACATATAGATACAGAATATCCCAAGTGATAACACATATAGATACAGAATATCCCAAGTGATAACACAGCTAAAGAGGAAAGACATTTTAAAACAAACTTATTTATTTGCTTAGTTTATTGTCCTGTTTTGTGATGAGAAATAAAAATGTTTAACACTTCACCAACTTTGACTTTATCTATTTATTTTTACGACTATGAAAATTGTACGATAATTCCGAGATTTTCTTAACTCGTTTGGTACAAACTGCTGTTTCAAATATTATGTTTTAATGATTTTGGAATGGTAGCAATATTGGCTTGGATTTCAATGTACAATTCACTCTTGTTGACCTGGATGTATGCGCGCGAGGGTCATATAGTGGGAGGAAACCGGAGTAATAGGGAAAGCTAATGTGGTCGGGCAGGTGACCCCTTACCTTTTCACGTCCGGTCCGGGAATCGAACCCAGGACCGCTAGGTGAAAGGCGAGTACGTTACCATTGCGCCATCCGACCACCATCGCTATGATTACACAGCTTTAAATATATTTTGTTAATTAATTTAGATTTCATTTGATTTATGTTGTATGTCGAGTTATTAAAAATAAAAATAACGCACTTTTATAAAGTGGGAGCAATTGCATTATGCAGGTAAGTGTCATCAACGGCTAGATGTAATTTATTTTTTTATTCATCTATTTGTTATTATTATCATTTTCTTTTTTGTTTGTTTGTTTTTGTTTGTTTTTTTTTTTTAATTGTGTCGCCTGCAGAGCTGGCGAACACTTAGGGATCACTTTGTCAGTCGTCACGCGTCGTCGTCGTCGTCCGTACGAAAGTTTTCCGGACTTTTTTTCGGCAATGCTTGGAGTTATCAAAATGAAATTTGGCATATGGCTTTTTGTTGCAAGGGTACAGATTAAGTTCGATTCCCGGCTGTCTGTGACCCTTTTTGGCAGAGTTATGCCCCTTTCAACCTAGAAAATTTCCTGGGAATATTGTTTTCCGGATTTTTTGGCTTATGCTTTGAGTTATCGAAATGAAATTTGGTATTACAACTTTATGGTTGATTGTTGCACATCCAGATCAATTTCTGGGTGACCGTGACACTTTATGCTGGCGACACATACAGTTCCGAGGAACTCTTGTTATCATAATCAGTTTTGTTTGTTTGTTAATATTTATTTTTTGGTTATTTATATATTTTTTTAAATTTTGTATTCAACGTTCACTAACATAGAGTCTAGCATATACGTTACTTTTATACTTCTAAAGAACAGTAAACATCAATCATCATATGTATTATAGATATCACACCGTATTCCTGTAGCTGATAATTTTAACGATAAACATCTTTATTTAACGATAAAAATACATAAATCAATTACGTATTGATCTTTATTACTGACATAATAACGCGTTCACTACATGTACCATTGGAACGAATGGAGTATAGCAGACATGATCAAGTATGTCATCTTTGGGTGTTTATTTTTTAATCAGTTTTTAAAGCCTCCAATTATGAATTAATGGTATTTATTTGCCTTTCACACTTGAAGCATATTTTTTTGTGTTTTAGTAAATTATAATATATTTTCTTCACTTTCTAACAAACAGTGATCAGTTTTATCACGCTGTTTATAAATGTATTATCTATATTCGGTATAATGAGGTCATGTTACCAGCTGTGAAAAGCTGATATATGTCTTTATGGTTAAGTTAGAGGAACATCCCCTGAATGTCGTAAGTCTGAGAGTTACTTAATGGGCTTCCTGTTTGTATATTTACAAATCTTGCTTATCAATGTTTTACACAACTAATAACAAAAAAATGTTAAAATAAATTTACATTAAGTTATGAACCGGCTATGCACGTAAGGAGTGCTGTCACCATGACCATGTCATTAAGTACTCTAGGATTTTCGAAGGCCTTAAACTCTACTTCATACAGTGGAGAACTAATGCATCTCGGGACAATTTCTTCTTTGGATTATTTAAGTCTTTAAACGCTGAGGTACATCAAGGTTCAGTTCTAGGGCCTTTACTTTTCCTAATGTATCAATAAATGATATTGCCTTGAATTCTTCTCGGTCAAGCCTTTTTGCTGGTGATACTTTTCATTCTTAGTCATCTCATGAATTAATTAAGATTGAAGTATGCGGAGGATCCGATCTGAGAAAGCTCTATGTTCGGTCAAAAAAGTTATCTATGTCTATAGATCCCATTGAACCCGAGGCTCTTATCGTCTCGAATATATTGCTGACATTTGTTCTAGTGTTTAACTTTTATGATACTGAATGGAATTGAAATTGAAAAAAAAGGTGAAAAATATTTCCGTTTTCATTATTTTTCATTAACATTTTTTACTTTAACACGTGTCAAAAAGTTACTTTTCTGAATTGTGATAAAAATGTTTCAAATTTGCTTTCATTTCAGTATGCAATTATAGAGCAGTAGCCACCAGGTAAAATGTTAAAAAGAACAATTTTGTTGCAGTTTCACAGTTAAGCATTTTTTTATTAGGAATTCGTTGATTACTGTTACGATTTTATTACATTTGGACATCACACATACATACAAAAGTAAAAACAAAAACGAAAGAAAGTTTAACAATTATTGCAGGAAGTCCCAGTCATAGTCAACTGTCGGGTAAAATTACCAATGGAAACCTAGTAAATCTACCAATTATAAACTCTCGCGAGATTAGAGCAAATGGCAGGTTTATAAGGCTTGAAAACATCCGTATATTGTAAATATGATGGAAAGAAATTGGGAAAATGACAAGGAAATATTTCGACAAAATTTTAATTGCTTTGAAACATTTAAGTCAGAAGAATACAAATTTTATTTATCCATCGATATGTGATTTGTAGTACATAAAAGCATGCCTGAATGTCGACCCATGCAGGTTTTTGACATTTTTATATCGGGATGCAGGTTTTTGACATTTTTATATCGGGAGGAAATCCGAATATCGACTGCGACGAAGGGAATTTTTAATCACGTCTAGAGAGTCAAACAAACTTCTTCGGACTACCTCCGCATGAAAAAAATAAATCTTTCAACAAAAAGTAAAAATCACAATACAAATCAGCAAGATGGGATCGAAAATCTACTTGGGAGATGATGTAGTCGTTTCCGCCATGTCACCATCGGAAAATATCATCTTGGTTCTAGACGTATTATTGACGAAGACGTATTGTTCAGAACCATATATTTGCATCACACGAGGGTTTTACAGTCACACTGAAAGGATATTAAATCGATTTTTATGGTCACCAGAGTGATTTCATTGATAAATATTCTATGTCATTGTGTGATATGAAGCTGGACGTATTTGATGCTCGTTAGTTTACCTGTTTGTTCCGTTGTTGTATACCTTGTTCTCATTTGAGAACGTGACATTACTTTCTTCGATTGACCAAGGTTTACACGTCTGGTGTCGTCGATGAAGCAGCAGACGCTTACTCTTTCGGACAACCTGGTCATTATTATCCTGGTACTTACTTTTGTTCTTATTTTGCCCTAGTTTGTATGGCCTTTGGGTTTGGATTATGATTATGTTAACATGGTGATGTTTTTACAGCATGTGCAGCGATTATATCAACTTCCTAACGATCTAGGAATTTGCACTAAAATGTTTCATGTCTTAAAGATGCGTCAGTATAAGAAAATATTTCGAAACAATATAATTGAGTTCTTTCTGTTATCATTCATATCACAGCTTCACACCTAAGATAAAGGATTATTCCCAGACATCTTTCATCGCCGATATTATTATGACACCTGTTCATTTTGTCTTTATATCACAGTAATATCACATCGACTGCAACTTTCGATTGTATAAACGAATGGCTTTGAGGTCCCGCCGATCCTTGATTACCCACATAATCCCATTATCATTTACATCACAGGCACAAAAATATGCAGTGTCGTCTTGACAAACAGTTCGGATAAACTTTCCAGTTCCTTGATCGAACATTTGGATGATATGATCATAACATAGAAGAATATTACCACGTCTGTCAAAACAAAAATCATTGATGTCTAAAGATAAATCAACATCAATTACACATCTCTTGGTCAACAAACCGCCATATACAACGACTTGTTTTGATGTTTTTTGTGCATAAAGGATGCCTATATCCTTTGTTTGTGGACATTCCCTGATACGTGTCGCATTTGTATCAATAGCAACGTCATTTTCTACCACAGAATGTAATAAAACATTTCCTGTTGTGCTATAAAGTGTTAGCTGTCGGGTGTCCATCTCGGAAACAAGTACGCGTCCGTCTCTTGTCACGCATATACTTTCCGGTTGATCTTTGACCGTGAACACAGTTTCAAACTTCTCTGGTGATGTCGATCGTTTAATACTAAAATCACCATCATTTTCATGACATGCATACCAAGCAGTGTAGTCAATAGGTGACAAACACTCACAAAACTCAGTCTCTGTAGTAGAGATGTTCATTATGTTTTCAAATACACACACTGCGGAATCTACGCAGTATAACCTGCACCAGCCATTAGCTGAATATGGCAGCACAACATGTTTTGTAACCACATTGTCAATTGTTATGCAACATTTTTCTCCCTTCTCAATAATATTAATCACTTGGTAATCAGTTGCAATATGTGCACCGGTCCGGTCTGTATTTCCGATAGGAATGGCAGTATCACGTGACAGTCCCTTTTCCCAAACTTTGGCCGTTGCGGGATTTACTTTGTATTCATGGCATATGTCTGTAATGGTATCATTTTGTGCCATTGATTGCATTACTTGATCTGTGCACAAGTCACCATTGTTTGGTTGATGGTCATTTGAGGATGTCGGGCTTTTGCCCCCTAAAACATCCATGTAACAACGCTTATCACTATTTGTCAACGTCTTTACATCGTTGGACGCAAACCGCAACGGCGGATACACATCTCCGAACGTCGGTATAGCTGACACTGTTCGATCAGGTTGTTTTACAAATGTTTCTGATCCTGATTCAGTGGTTGCTGTCATGAATCCGCCAACTGTTTCATTACTGATCTGGCAAGGAATCTCAGTAAGGGTTCCTAGCTTTTCTAAGAGATGGACAGGTCCCGTAGGGTAAACAAGTTTCGTAAGTGGATATTCATCTGTCATAATAAGTTGACTAGGTTTCTTAGACAGTGTTAAAAGTCTTTCGGATACCGGCTGCATCCTTAATTCACTGTTTTTGCTCTCTGGGGAAAATGCTAGATTTTCTAATTGGGATTCAAATGTCTTCAGTTTCCTCTCATTTTCAGACACCTTCTCATTCTGAACATCGGTCCATTTTACCAACTGTTCCTTATAAAACTTATTTCTTATGTTAATTTCTCTTTTCAGTTACAGAATATTATCCTTGTGTTCCTGTATCATTTCCTGATGTTGAGATGTTTCTCTCCTCAAATACTCCCTTTCCTTTTCAGCAAGATATGCTATTAGATCAATCATGTTGTGACTATGATGACCTTCTAGATGGCATTTGTAGCATAAGGGTAATTCATTACACGTCTTACACAGGTAGACAAGCTCTTCATCAGGATGTAAATGACATCGGTCTTTTGACAAAATTAGTTAGCATTACAACACCCATTTAAATTGAATATTACTTATACACTTATCAAGATTGCATGTTGAAACTTATTTCATGTCGGAAATCACATTATATTCAGCTTTTAAGCAACCACGGTTAAAGTACTTTACAATATTGGAACATGGCCATGCAGCCATGAAGTTTAGTTTAGTTATCTTTTGTGTTAAAGTAACGGAGTTACAAAATGTTTGACAGTAGAACTTGATTTGCAGACGGAACCTTAATTTTTTTTCAGAACTTAAATACCAATGCTATTTTGTTAAATATAATTTTTACTGATATCACGTGCCTTATCAAATCATGAAAGTATGGCAATATGTTAAAATAATATCCTACACAAGTTGGCAAACTTTTCTATGTTTTGTACTTTTTGGAAACTTTTTCTATAGACTACTGTTAGCATCAATCAAAAATATCTTTCGTAAGGTCAGTTTGAAAATTGGTGGAAATACTCCCTGCCAATATATGACTAGACTTTCTAAATTTAGTCTTACGGCCATGTGTAAGGGATTGCGCTTAATTTTGCTCACCATTTTTAAGAGATATTTTCTATGACAACTCAACAAGATATAAAGGAATGTTTTCTGTCGATAGGACAAGAAATCTAAACACCGAGAGTACTGTATCATTTCAAAAGGACTACCCAAAAAGATATATATAGAACCGGAAGTACTGTATCATTTTAAAAAGTCTGCCCAAAAAGGTATATACAGAACCGGAAGTACTGTATCATTTTAAAAAGATTGCCCAAAAGGATATCTTCAGAAACGGAAGTACTGTAGCGTTTACAAAAAGAATGTTCAAAAAGATATTTCCAAAGTATAGAAACGTTTTCTTTCATCTGTTTCTTATCAACTGTTAAATAACGAGAACGTTTTACTTAATTATGAAGGTATGACAATAATCTATGTGGTTTGGCATTGTCATCCATCAGGACAGACCGATTAACCAATGGATGGACATCAAATTGCGAAACAACTAAAGTTCGAAGGATCTGATCGTGGTACTTCTGCTCATTTAAAGTCCCATCAAGAACATGCAACTGAATCTTACATTTTTAGAGGAAAGAATTTCAAAGTAGCAACATCATGAATGTGGCTCGCCTTGCCTGTCTATACATAATTCTATTTTCTCTATCTGTAGTATTTCGCGGTCTGCCAGCGTAGTGGTGTATAACGGTAGGTTATTTGTGAAATATGAATGCATACAATTATTTTGACATCAGGGACTTTACACAAACTAATAAAAGTAGAACTAAAGGGAAAATGCCACAACTGGACAAATGCACACGATGAAAAGTCCTACAAATTTGAGTATCGCAAATGGTTGTATAAAGCATAAAATACTATAACATCGCGTGGTATTTTACGGTTTTCCACAACATTTAAATACGTACCCGTATGGATGTGTACCGACTTGCACTCCTGCAAACTGCTTTTGCGTTGTTGAATTGTACACAGCTTCCTTTCTTGGCAAGACAGCAACAAAGTGATTCGGAGTCCACGAACTGGGATTGTGTTGCTTCCCCATTGTGTTAGTCCACATGACGTGAATAATTCGTCTATCGCCCTGTCGAAATTGTCGGGGCATGAGTATACGATGAAGATGCTGCCTCACATTGTACCCACCGTAAGATGGGTAAATGGAAAATATCTGTACACCAAGAACACTAGCTAGCGCGAATATGCTCCACATGCTACAAAAACTGTTAATCTTCAGTACATCCTTCGCGTATTGTCTGAAGGTAGAACGGCATACGTCATTGTTTGTCGGGACGTATATATCGGTATACAACGCTAAGGTCATTGCGAGGTCTTCAAATGGGTTATCAGTGCCTCTGTTCAAATATGAGTCTTCCAAGTAGCTGTCCTCAAACTGGCATAATTCCATACATATCCTTACTCTTATTTCGACGTGATGTGTCTCGTTCCCATAAGCAAACAAACTGCCAATTCTTGGTAAGCAATTTCCGTCCCCGAGAATTTGTATTGGTACGAAAGCATTTGGAGCATCATCATATGGGTACAAACAAGAGGCGACGCTATCCAGTTGGTAATCCTTTGCATCAAGGTTTGGTAGGTCTTTTATTGGAAATTTTTGCTCAACAAGTAACGAATATGCACTACATAGCCTCTTCATGTCGTCAAAGTCAGTAGTCTGTGACAGCACCGTATGTAATGTTTGAAAATAAGCTCGTCGTGCACCATCGTGTGTTATGTTGATGCTTTCGTTTTCTGTTCTATTTTCTAAATTTCTTTGCAGAGATGCGGTTCCTTCGGCCGGCCTTTGAAATAAATATAATATCATTCATTTACGTACGGTTTTCAAACTCACAAATATACGAAAAGCATTTTCGAGAAATAAACCTATCTATTCATACTATTGTTTATGCCACTGACACAATTATTAGAAGCGTTTCGATTTTATCTAAAGTCGACTTCCGGGATAGCTTTGATATGACCATATACTTGTGTGCAGTATTTTTCATTAGTAGCATTCGAATACACAAAAATAAATAAATAAAATAAAACAAAATTGTAATATTTGATTATGCTTATTGTTATCCATACCTGTCACTACATAGGTTAAGTAGAATGGCAAGACATTGATCGTCACCCATGTCATCAACATCGCTACTTTGGGATGATTTAGAATCTATCGCCGATTGGTGTTGATCAAATGATGGATTCGAGTCCAAATCAGTATAATTTGATATAAATGTCTCCAAGGCTGTAGTATGACCTCCGGTTTCATCAATAACTTCGTTTACATTTATAACGGAGACAGCCTGTTTTGAGTCCAACTTCCGCTTCCTTTCCCGAAATTTTTCTTGGCGTTTCTTGCAGAGTTCTTTGTCATGTTGTTTTTTCTCCACTGAACGTTTTCGTCTTTCCTGTCGTTTTCTTTCCCTTTCCCGTTCCATAAATTCTGTATTGTCCTTTCGCTTTTCACGCCATAACTTAGATCGAACGGAGCTTGCAGAAGCCATTTTATTTCTTTTTACTTAAAATCACTCAAGTGACATCCATGCCTTAGAAGAGTTTTATTGGATATGGACATTTTTCTTATAACCTTCTGCGCCACCTAAAACATACAGAAACAACACTTGTTTTCATAAATCTTCAGACGTACTAGTATCTTACGCCTGACAAAACGGATAAAACTTGAATTAACATCGATACTTCGGTCCACGAATTAATTCAAAACTATTAAAACCTTTGGTATCTATAACATATCACGATTTCTTATATATATCTGAAACTGACAGACATATTCAGGAAGAAGAACAATAGTTAGTAGTTTGTGTCGATTTAGTCGAGATCTAGGAAAAGTCGGTGTACTGAGAAAGTCTGTCTTTTGACAAATGTGTTCTGTTTCAAGCAGTAGAACAACGCAAAATCTAGTCTAAATATATATTGTCTTTGTTTTTGCATAGTTTGACATTATTTTTATAAAATAGCAGACATGGTCTATTCACGAAAAGACAGAAATACTTCTTTCCATTCTCTCAAGCATAACAGAGCAATATATCTTATGATACATGTTCCAGCCACATTCAGTCCCAAGCATCATTTAATATTACTAACAAGTTTAAACTTTCATCCTCAAGCATCACTGACTGGTACTGTGTTATATTACCCCTAAGTTAAAACCTTCAGCCAATATCATCACTGACGAATACAGTGTTATGATACCCATGTTATATTTCCTCTGAGTTAAAACTTTCATCTCCGAGCATCACTGACGAGTCTAGTGTTATAATACTCCAAAGTAAAAACGTTCTGCCCCTAGCATCACTGACGAGTCTTGTGTTATAACACTCCAAAGTCAAAACGTTCAGCCCCTAGCATCTCTGACGAGTCTAGTGTTATAATACTCCAAAGTAAAAACGTACAGCCCCTAGCATCACTGACGAGTCTTGTGTTATAACACTCCAAAGTCAAAACTTTCAGCCCCTAACATCACTGACGAGTCTAGTGTTATAATACTCCAAAGTCAAAACGTTCAGCCCCTAGCATCTCTGACAAGTCTAGTGTTATAACACTCCAAAGTCAAAACGTTCAGCCCCTAGCATCTCTGACGAGTCTAGTGTTATAATACTCCAAAGTAAAAACGTACAGCCCCTAGCATCACTGACGAGTCTTGTGTTATAACACTCCAAAGTCAAAACGTTCAGCCCCTAGCATCTCTGACGAGTCTAGTGTTATAATACTCCAAAGTAAAAACTTTCAGCCCCTAACATCACTGACGAGTCTAGTGTTATAATACTCCAAAGTCAAAACGTTCAGCCCCTAGCATCTCTGACGAGTCTAGTGTTATAATACTCCAAAGTCAAAACGTTCAGCCCCTAGCATCACTGACAAGTCTAGTGTTATAATACTCCAAAGTAAAAACGTACAGCCCCTAGCATCACTGACGAGTCTTGTGTTATAACACTCCAAAGTCAAAACGTTCAGCCCCTAGCATCTCTGACGGGTCTAGTGTTATAATACTCCAAAGTCAAAACGTTCAGCCCCTAGCATCACTGACAAGTCTAGTGTTATAATACTCCAAAGTCAAAACGTTCAGCCCCTAGCATCTCTGACGAGTCTAGTGTTATAATACTCCAAAGTAAAAACGTTCTGCCCCTAGCATCACCGACGAGTCTTGTGTTATAACACTCCAAAGTCAAAACGTTCAGCCCCTAGCATCTCTGACGAGTCTAGTGTTATAATACTCCAAAGTAAAAACGTACAGCCCCTAGCATCACTGACGAGTCTTGTGTTATAACACTCCAAAGTCAAAACTTTCAGCCCCTAACATCACTGACGAGTCTAGTGTTATAATACTCCAAAGTCAAAACGTTCAGCCCCTAGCATCTCTGACAAGTCTAGTGTTATAACACTCCAAAGTCAAAACGTTCAGCCCCTAGCATCTCTGACGAGTCTAGTGTTATAATACTCCAAAGTAAAAACGTACAGCCCCTAGCATCACTGACGAGTCTTGTGTTATAACACTCCAAAGTCAAAACGTTCAGCCCCTAGCATCTCTGACGAGTCTAGTGTTATAATACTCCAAAGTAAAAACTTTCAGCCCCTAACATCACTGACGAGTCTAGTGTTATAATACTCCAAAGTCAAAACGTTCAGCCCCTAGCATCTCTGACGAGTCTAGTGTTATAATACTCCAAAGTCAAAACGTTCAGCCCCTAGCATCACTGACAAGTCTAGTGTTATAATACTCCAAAGTAAAAACGTACAGCCCCTAGCATCACTGACGAGTCTTGTGTTATAACACTCCAAAGTCAAAACGTTCAGCCCCTAGCATCTCTGACGGGTCTAGTGTTATAATACTCCAAAGTCAAAACGTTCAGCCCCTAGCATCACTGACAAGTCTAGTGTTATAATACTCCAAAGTCAAAACGTTCAGCCCCTAGCATCTCTGACGAGTCTAGTGTTATAATACTCCAAAGTCAAAACGTTCAGCCCCTAGCATCACTGACGAGTCTAGTGTTATAATACTCCAAAGTCAAAACGTTCAGCCCCTAGCATCACTGACGAGTCTAGTGTTATAATACTCCAAAGTCAAAACGTTCAGCCCCTAGCATCACTGACGAGTCTTGTGTTATAACACTCCAAAGTAAAAACGTTCAGCCCCTAGCATCTCTGACAAGTCTAGTGTTATAATACTCCAAAGTCAAAACGTTCAGCCCCTAGCATCTCTGACGAGTCTAGTGTTATAATACTCCAAAGTCAAAACGTTCAGCCCCTAGCATCACTGACGAGTCTTGTGTTATAACACTCCAAAGTAAAAACGTTCAGCCCCTAGCATCTCTGACGAGTCTAGTGTTTCGATACTATCAATTAAATGCTTTCAGTCCATTGTTTTAATGCACGACGAGTTTGATTTCGGGCAATCATAGCAAAACTTTAAATTAGAATCTTCATGAAATTATAACACTCTCTGAGATAAATTGATAAAAATAAAGCTAGCCGACACTCCCTGTTGTGTCTATCACAGATAACCGAGTTCATCACGTGACCTTTCAAAGCCTCGTTTTAACCTGACGCATTGATGTGTTTTCTTACTAAGTATAATTATGTGATCAGCCAAAACTTCATTTGCAAGCCATGTTTCAATTCTTACTTTGTACAATGACATCTTATTTCACGCTGTACACGAGACAGAAGGAAATAAATGAAACTTAATTAATTTGAATATAAAATTTCATGCGAAAAGACATTGTTTACACCCTCCGGACGATAATGATACAAATCACTGTTAGTCGCTCCTGTTTTATTTGGATTTTTTTTGACGTTGTTTATAAAATGGTTACGACTTTAAAGTATAATAATTAACAGAAACTACACAATTTTTCTGCTCTTTCAGAAAGGAAAACACACACTAACATTTGAAGATCGTATACAATAAAAGCGTTCTAATGATCGCAATTCGCTCATAACGGGGATCGAAATTATTTGTAATGCTAAATAAAACAACTCCAGCTACTACATAATTATAGCCGTCAAATGTACTGTTTTATGATTATCTTCACTCTGCTATAAAAATAGACTGACGCTAGGTAAATATTGCGGTAGGATATAAATAGATCATGCCGTAATGTATAAATATAGAAATGCGTATATTAGAAACCGGAAATTCCAGACCTATTTTTAGACAGCTCCGACGCTGTTACCATTAATAAGCTAACATGGACGTAATCAGGGGCTTTTTATCCTCACTTTTACATGATGATATATGACAGAGATACCATAGACCATACAACAATGATTATAATAAACACATCACACTCTTACGCTGTGATTTAAGTATTATATATTTAGTGTTGGAGAGTTTTTGCTTCCTATATATTTCTCACAGTCGTATTTGTGTTCTTAAGCATGGGACTAACAACACACTTCTAATACTTCCTTGTCCAGTCTCTATTTCAACAATGCATTACAACATTTACATATATACTAACACAATGTACTTGAGAAATGAGTGATTTGCCACGGAATAGTATTAATCGTCACCTTATATGTGTCACTTGTGCTACTGCCGAGTCATTTCCAAAGCAAGAAATACAATTATCGATGTATATGAACATTTACCTGTGACTTTTCACGTCAGTATAACATCCCGGAATTTAAAAATCAAAATGTCGTTCAGGAAAACATAATGATAGAAAAATCATACTTACTGATATCTCTAACGATGTCGATAAGTGACTAGGTGTAACGTTACGAATGCTTTGATCTATAACCTGCTTATAACAGCAGTCATAATGACGTGTCACCGTATATACATATGTACTATTTTTCTTGGTAAAACCGAAGACTATTTATAGCTGCTAGCCTAATATTGTTATTCTGTTTTAAAGAGTTGATGTAATTTCAAAATGTCAACTACTACATTAAAGTCTATTAAGCGACTATAATGTTAAAAAACACCAAAACAAAACAAAAAAATGACATTATCGCGTGTATCGCTTTTTTATGGATATATTTTATTATTCATAAGCCGAATTCTCCATTTCCCGATGTTGAAATCTAAGGTAATAGCCGCTTTAATTGTAATATGTACAAGTCGTTGTGTTTCGCATCCTACAATAAAACTACCAGAGTAATTTTTTTTTCAGACTTATGTTTTTATTCGGTTTATAATGACATGCATTTGTACTTTGTCAGAGATATTGAAGATGACAGTCAATGTCTTATAACTCATGCGACGAGAGGTATTCTACGTACAATTTTTTCTTTTGTGACGTCATCAACATGATCGGGAAACTGTTTACCCTTTATATTTACTCATGTTGTGTATATGTAATGGGTGAAGAGGTGGGAGGTAATTGCTTGATGTTACCGCTCCATCGCTCACTGGATTAGGTACGATTCAGCATTTAGTATTACTTATATTGGAACTCTTTTGTATGAAAAGTTGGGAAAAAGAAGAATAATAAAAGAGATAGAGAGAGGGACTCAGCACTCTGGACAGATTTGTTTATCG